GCCGTCCTGGGGCCATCTTGGGAGCCTCCTGGGCAGTCTTGGGGCAATCTTGGGGACCTCTTGGGCCGTCTCGTAGTCTTGGAAACCTAGACAAGCGAGAACGCACAAATTCTTCGAAGCCCTCCGCAAAATCAATGATAGTGGCCCTGTGGCTCTCTTGAGGGTCCTCTTGGGGCCTGCTGGGGGCCTCTAGGGGGCCTCTCGGGGACCTCTTGGGGTCTCTTGGGTGCGCTCTGGAGGCCTCTGGGTGGCTCTTGGGGCCATAGGCTTGAAATGTCCGTTCGGGGGAGTCTCACTCGGGGCCCCCATTGGGCCTTCCCGGTTCCTCCCGTCCCCCCATGGGGGAGGTTGGGTCTACGCCCCCCAGGGCCTCTCCCAAATTACCCCATACATGTGTACATAACTCCAGCGAGTCCAATGATGGCAGAGGGAGAAGATCAGGGTGACCCTCCAAAGGGAAAGGGCTCACCCTGCAGGTTCGGTTAACAGCACATCGTTGAGCAGTGCTGCAGCCTCCCTTGAGCACAGGCCCCCCCCCCAGAGCAGCAGCCAGACAAGTCGGGTATGCACCCTCATGCCACGCTGGACTCCGGGCGCGTTTCGGCACTGCTGCAGGCGCAGCCACCCCCTCGTCAGGGCCACCGACTCGGGTTACGGAGACAGCGACAATGGCAGGTTCCCGACGCGACCCAGAGCTAAGCCGAAGCGAGGCTATGCGGAACATGAAGCAGGAAGACGTTGGGAGTAGATTGAGCTTCCGCCCGCCCCCGTTGACTGAAGTAGGACGGAGCCTACAGTAGATTGGGATCTGAGAACCCGGCAATACTTACTTTGAGCGATCAGTGAGTACAGACGTGTAAATACCTATATTTATGTACATACACACTAGAAACATCGCGCGCGCTTCGCGCGCGCTCAAGTTCTAGCTAGGCTTGATAGACTGACTCATGTAATATCATGTTGGTCGCTTCTTGCGTCCAAGGACTCCCTTGGATGCCCTGCGCAAGCCTCGGAATCGTATAGAAGGGGAAGCGCGGAAACGCAGAAATCATTAATTCCCTTTAGGTATTCAACGCTTTGGGGCCCTCAAAAGATTCCTGGGTTCTTTTTTGGGAGGTGAGGGGGGTCTGAATTGTAATCTGTTGTGCAAGAGTAGACCTGGGGCCAAACTTGGAAGAAAAAAAGGAATTGTGGGATTTCCATGTATTTCCAGTTCCTCTGCGCTTTTCGGCTCTGTTTGTTGTTTGTGCCTCGCGGGTTTTGTTAGCCAGGCCCCTCAAGGGGTGTGGGATCTTCCAGACGCCCTGGGGGTTCTGGAGGCCTCCTGGAGGCCTGGAGAGCTGTCGGAAGGGTGTCTCGGCCTGCGCGGGAGCGTGTTGGGCCGTTCTTTGCGTGCTGGTGGCTCCTTGGGGTCGCCTTGGGCTGTCCTTGGGCATCTTGGGGGCCCCCCCGGGAGGCCCAGAGGCGCGGTACCGGCCAGATGTCAGGGGAGGTGTGGGATCTCCGAGCAGGAGTCCCACTTTAAAAAAAAGGGATTCTCTGGGAATTCCCTTTTTTCCAAAATCCTCGATCTTCGAGGATTGCAAGCGGGAAAACATGGGGCCTCTCAGGGATCGGGGGTGTGTTGGGGGCCTATGGCTGGTCCTGGAAGCCTCTCCGAGGTCTCTGGAAGCCTCCTGCTCCCGCTCTTGGGCCCATCTTGGGCCTGTTCTGGGATGGTCTGGGGCTGTCCTGGGCGCCTCTTCGGCAGTATTGGAGCCTTCTTGGCACATCTTGGGGCCGTCCTGAGAGTCTCTTGGGTGGTCTTGGGGCGGTCTTGGGAGCTTCTTCGGCGCTCTTGGACCATTGGAAGCTCGAAAACGCGAGAAGCAAAAAACAATGAAAAACCAATGAACATCTACGATTTTGGCCTCTTCGGGCCGTCCCGGGACGCCTCTCGGACCTCTCTTGGGGTCTCTTGGAGGCCACCTGGGAGCCTCGAGAGCTGTCGGAAGGCTGACGTCTTGGGCCATCCTTTCGTATTCTGGGGGCTCCTGGGAGGCGTCTTGGGCCCTCTGGGGAGGTGCGGGACCCGGGGCCCGGTGGGGGGCGGTGTACATGTGTGATAAAGGTTTATATTATACTATAATAGAATACAGTATATTATATTGAAAACTACAACTTATATTATATCATATTATATTATATTATATTGTATTAAATTATATTAATTTAGCTTGTAGTATATTGATACCTTTATATATACATTACATTACACTGTGATATACTATAGCATCTAAAATAATACTACATTACACTGCATTACACTACATTGCATTACATCATAGTGTAGTACATCATTATATAATGAATCATAGTGTGTCATGATACAATGTGACGTAGTATATAGATATATATATATATATATATATATATTAACATATTAAAATATTGCATTATAACTTATGATATAACATTACGATGTAATATAGAATAGCATGAACTATATTAGTAGAGTAGATTATACCATGTTCTATTATATGGGAGCGTACTATATTAATAGTGTGCCATATTATACAAGATTACAATCGTTTACATTATAATATGTTGTATTACATTATACAAATGTGCTTTCCAGAGATGCCAACAGAGAAGGGGCTATGGACGGGATGACCCCCTCAAATGGAAAGGGCCCACCGTGCATATTCAGGTAACAGCACATCATTGAGCGGTGCTGCAGCCATCCCTGAGCATAGGCCCTCCCGGAGCAGGAGCAGCAGCCAGACTGGTCAGGGTTGCACCCTCATGCCTTCATGACCTCCGCGCGCGTTTCGGCACCCTCTCCCCCAACCTCGTCAGGGCCAACGACATACAGACATACTATTGACCTGGATCACTGAAGGAGCCCTGGGACACACAAATAAATACACACAAATAAAAGGATTCCCCATATTTTCCCATATGTTTTTGGTTTTTGTCTTCCCCCACTTCCCATATTTTCCCATAGTTTCTGGGGAATCGACGAGTAATTGTGTCTGTGTGTGTTTTTCTCCTCCTGAATCACGGCAGTACAGTCGGCTGCACCGCACACCGCTCGAGGCGGTTCTCGGGCTGGAATGCTACGACTGGGGTGCACACGTGCGCTCATGTGACACCTCACTACGCACTCACTGTTCCTGACGTCTTCTACTTGCCTGCGTTGCAGACCTGGCAAACAAGCCTCAAGCAGCCCGAAAAGTACGTGGCTCCCCTCCCAGAATCACGTCATCTGAACTTCTGGCAGTTGCCCTCGGACGCGCAGAATGCGACTCGCTCGCACTCACCAACTCCCCGCCAGCTGCACCGGCCTCGAGCTCCTGAGGACACCACCCCTCGTAGACTGCAGCGGGCTCGCTCTCCCAGAAGCAGCAGCCCACAGCGAGCCGCGACAGGCCCGCGCGGCAGGTGGCGAACCAACAACACACACCCATACCCATAGGGGGATCGGAGAGGCTATGGGTGCGTGTTGTCGGATGGGGGTCCCCGCTCGAACGGGAGCGTTCCCCAGGGTCCGACAACCCGCACCCATACCCATAGCCAGTCCTCCTCCCAACGACCTCCCTATGGGTATGGGTGTGTGTTGTTCGTTCGTCAGCAGGAGGCCACGTGGCCCCCCGCCACTCACAGCGCACTCCTCGCGCTCCCGAGGCCACGACCTCCGGGCAGGCGGCAGCCCAGCGAGCCTCGCGCCGCCGAGGCCGCGAGCCCATCCCGCGCGGGAGAGCTGCCCAGAACGACTGCTATGCTGTGGGATGTGCGCGTGTCTCGGGGGCGCGCTGCTGAAGGCGCCCTGGGACAACACAAATAGATACACACAGACAGCAGGAGTCCCCATAGTTCCCCATAGTTTTACTGGGTCTCTGTCTCCCCCCCCAAACTCCCCATAGTTTCCCTTCTTCTCCTGGGAGTGGAGGATGCATTGTGTCTGTCTGTTTGTGTTTTTGTTCCCTCCTAAGCTGCTCGGCGCCCCCCCGTCGCTTTCGGGGATCTTCTGATCCGGGTCAATCCAGAGCCAGGTCAGCAGGAAACCAAAAACTGCAATGCAGGAACAAAAAAACTGCAACGCAGATCTTCGCAAACCCGGGTCAGCCAATATGCGCGGCCGCCTCGCGGCCACGAGCGGCTCGATAACCCGAGTCAGCCAGAGGGGGTCTTCGCAGGATCCTAGAGGATCTGGCGCCCTGGCTGACCCCCGTTTGCATGGACCCCCGTCTCGAGGCTCCCGACGCTTCCCGCGGGTGTCGGCCCCGGGCCCCGCGGCACGCAGAGTACACACGCGGCTCCGCGCCCCCGGCCGGGACCACGACCCCCGGCAGATTGCAAAGGAGGCCCGCGCGCTCCCGAGGCCACAAATACACAGTCCCTTTTTACATGACCTGAGATTTGAGGATGATGATGATGATGATGACGACGACGATGATGTCAGGCTCCATAGGGGGGCTGGGTGCCTTGCGTCAGCAGCTCTCGAATGGCCCTCTTCCGCTTGGCCACTGCGCGGGCCCTCGCCCGCATCAGAGCCTCGACCCTGTCAGGGCCAGCCTGGGTCGACTGAGAGCGCAGCACGTTATACGTCGAGAGCAAAAGATCATGCACAAGAATGGCACCATGCACGGCTCTACATGACAGCATAGGAGGCCTCAACAGCAAACGATCGATAGCATTCCACTCGAGGAAATCAGGCGGCAGCGACGGAATGATCCTAGGGAGAAGTGGCAGCGGCACAGGGCACTGAAAATAGTGAGCAATGTGGTCTGAGTCTGCAGCACCGCAGCCCATGACGCAGCAGCGGTTCCCTGATCGAAATCTGGCCGACGTGGGCCACGCATTACATACTGATTTGAGGAGAGAGGAGGCAACGAAGGGGGCTTGTTTGGTAGCGGCGGTTAAAATGGCTCGAAAAATAAACTCGGCGTGGCCTACGGGGGCCTCACTCCAGAACTTCCGAATCCTTGGGAAGAGAAGGGTAGGCATAGAAGGGCGTCCCATGTTCTCGGCAACGGCAATCGTGACTTTTCGTTGGACATCGTGCGTGTATTCATTTATCGACGGGCAAATCGTCATGAGCTCGTCCCAATTCTTGATCAGGGAGCCGCACATAGACTCTGCAAGCCAAGACCTGTGCCGAACAACAGCCAGTCGTTCGAGGTCTTCGTGCTCAAGAAAATGCAGGCGTTCCTTCACTCTAGCGAAGGCTGAACTCTGAAGAGCGACCCGAAACATAGCGGCCTTGTTCGTGGCCTGGAGGTGGCGGGGCTCGACAGGGAACCCAAGTTCCAGGGAGTTCTTGAGGACAAGGGTGGGGATGGCGAACCTTGGGCCCATGGTCAGCCTTTGAAGAGCGTTCGTTTCGGCTCGAATCACCTCGGGCCTAACCGGCAGTACCTGCATCATGTACGTCAAGATCGGGAAAGCTAGCGAGTTGCAGGCATAGATGTTCTGAACTAAACCGAGCTTCAGCGTCTTAATGTGCCCGATCCTGGAAAGATACTTGACCAGCACAGGATGCCACGATGCCGCAGGCCCAGTAGGGCCGATCATCACCCCCAGATATTTCCCATGAGTGTCGACCTGGAAAGGCTTTATGTTGATACCCCACTTTTTGAACTCTTGGTTAAGCTCGGTTCTATCGAACTCCACGGCAATGACAATCACGCACTTCTTCAAATTCGGGAGCAGACCTGTCACGATCGAGCTCCTGAGAAAGTGCTTCATCATCGCGGGCACTGACTGCCTCAAGTCAGCCATCGCAGCGCCTACGTCGTCGGCGAAAGCGAATGGGGAGGAGGGGGTCGGTAAACGAGTCAAAATCATCTCCAGCTTCCGTAAAATAGGGTCAAAGGCCAGGGCGAAGAGGGCTCCTGAAAGAGGGCAACCTTGTTTTATGCCACGAGTGATTCGGTACCCAGGGAACCTTTTTCCAGCGAAAATGATGAAGGAGTAGAGGTCGGAATACAGCTGGCCAACTGCGCGGAGGATAAACTCGGGGATGCCCATCCGATGCAGCACGTGCAAAATCCATCTGTGGGACAGCGACGGGAACGCCGCTTTCAAATCCAGCAGGAACAGGCCAGCAAATGGACAGTCGTTATAACACGCGTATTCTAGAAATTTGCCTTCAATATCGAGGATATTGTCGATCAGGTATCTGCCTTTCACGAAGCCTTTTTGCATCGGGTTAGTGGAAAAAACTGCCTGCTGGCCCACGGGCACACATATTGCACTTGCCAAAAGCTTGTTGTCGGCGTTGCTAAGAGTGATCGGCCGAACTTGGCCAGATGGGCGAACTATGGATTCATGATCGTTATGAAGGATATCTTTGGGAAGAAACACTGTTTGCCCATGATTAAACCCCGAAGGCAGGCTGGCTCCTGCACATAATGCCTGGTATGCTTCAAATAACACTCGGTGAGCGCGCTCTCCTGCGTGTCTCCAACACGAGTAGGGAATTCCGTCAGGTCCACAAGCAGAATCGCGGCGACTGACGACGATCCCTTGGAAGGTCCCGAAATCGATTTCCCATTCAATACCAGGGGCAGCCCAAGGAATATCATCCGAAAGCTCGTTCATGATTTCCAGAAATTTTGGGTGAAGTCCAGGTCCCTGAGAATGAACCTCTCCCCAGTGTGCCGCCAGCGCCTGTGCACATTCGTCTAGCGAGCCAAGCGGGGAACCGTCAGGAGCAGAGATGCCACTCAGGTTGAGACGCCGCCGCTTCGGTGACCATGATTTCAAACGTTGGTGAAGCCGAGATCGCTGCTGCTCGACTTCCTGTAAACAATGCTCAGTACTAGGTAGCTTCGCGAGGTCATCCAAAATTACTGCACTGCTGAGCTCATTCAGGTGATTATGGAACGCGTTATAGTCGTAATACTTGCAGCTGTCAGAGTCAATAAACCTAGACAAAACAGGGTAGGCCTTCACACACTTTTTGATCCAGGAAGAGGACTGACTCCGGGACGAACCAGGAGAGAGAGCCCGATGGGCCCGCATGGCTTTTAGGCACACCGCGATCTTTTGCTTGTCGGTCAGGACCCCGCCCTTGAACATCCGATGAGTCAGCTCCTCCCTGGCGGCGAAAAAGATGTCCTTCAGCAGGCGCAGCTGTTGGAACGGGGAGCCGACGAGGCCAACTTCTTCGATGAGGGATTCGATAGCAGGACCGAACTCGGGATGCTCTGAGACCCATCTGGGAATGCTCTGACTCTTAGAGGAACCAGGAGATAACAGCAGATAAACAGGAATGTGATCGGACACCTCATCGATGTCGTGCGCGAGACCAATTGTACCAGATTTGGGGTGCCAGTCGAGTATTTCTCCAGTTGGGGCATTCGTGTAGATCCTGTCGAGCCGAGCGACCGAGGTGACCATGTTACGCACTTGAGTCCTGTGGGTGCAGTCCGTCTGCGCAATCTCGCAGAAGGATGGGAAGACGGTGCCGAAGTGCCTGGCCAATGTAGTGCTCCCTACAGTGGGCTCGCTGCCATCGAGGGGGATGCGCACATCGTCCTCCTCGACAAAGTTAAAATCTCCAGCAAGGAATGAGAGGCACGTGTTGCTGCTAGGAATACTTCGAGCTGCACGCGACATGAGATCATATTTAGCATGGTGAGGCAGGAGGGGTTCGATGTGTATGTTCATGATCAACATCGTGCCGTTCGCGCCAGTCACCCGCACGGAGAAGCATCGCCCTCCACTGATATGGGTGATCACGGGTTGACCTTCAAACCAATTCATCACTGACTTACGTATTGAAATAGTGCAGCCACCACTAGACGAGACAGAGCAGAAGGAGCCGAAGTGGGCGTGGGAGGGGAAGTCGCGCTCTAGAGAGCTTAAGTCGCCATCAGAACCGTGAGTTTCCTGACACATGACAATGTCATACTTGTTGATAAGCTGTGTTATCTCTGCTAGTTTCTTTCTTTGTCGTGCATGCGAGCCGCGCACGCTACCAAACAGAGTGGCCGAATTATATGTGACAATACTTAACTTGTTGCGAATTATGAAAGAAGCACTCTCTTCAGCACCAGACGGAGGAGGAGGCACGGGAGGGGGAGATCTGCCGTCCAGCGGATCTTGTGTGTGGGCACCCATAGCCAGCAAGGCTTCGCCGCGCACACGATCTGCCAACCTTGGCGAGCAAACGCCGTCCTCCAGACGGCGACGTGAAAGTGGCGGTGCGAGAGTGGCACAGGATATCTGCACAGGAATTTCCTACTCCGCCAGCAGCGCCTGGACACGGTCCGAGATCCCGTTCGTGAACGATTCCTCCAGATGGAAGTGCTTGAAGCTCATGGCGTCTACGTCGATCTCGAAGCGCCCTTCGCCGTTGCCGTTCACCTCCTTCAGCTTGACCATCTCGTATGGGTCGCCGTTCTCCATCAAGTAGAGGATGCCTTGGAATGGGTTGGTGCCGAGCTTCATGGAGGATGCGTTCCACAACATCTTACTCTTCATCTCGGCCTGGATGATGTTGTAGGCGAGACCCAGGGCGTAGGCCTTGTGCCTGACAGGCAATGGCTGGTCCTTGCCGAGCCGAAGGTCGTGGGTTTGCGATGTACGCGGGTCGATCCATTTCATCGCAATGCCTTTGAAGTGGCCCCAGCAGCTGTCAGCCTGGGCCTTGTTCTCGAAATCGATTGCGTACGAGTACTTGAAATTCTGGAATTTCGGCGTCACCTTGGACGCCAGCTCCGATGGGAGATTCGACTTGAGGACTGAGTAGTGCGCCTCGAACTGCGTCTGCATCAGCTTGCGCGGGAAGCCTCTGATCCATAGGCGGCATGGGTTGCTTACATCATATGGCCCAGCCGAAGCCGCGCGAGGCCGACGAGCTTGGGATCCCGACGACGTAGCCGATGAAAGCGATGGCGGCCGTGAAAGTGTCGACACCTGCGAGCTCAGCGTGGTCACCTGTTCCTGCAGCTTGTCGAGGATGTCGGCCTTTTCAGTGGGGACGCCTGTGTGCATGGCGTCAATCTTTGAGTGTAACTCGGCGAAGCTTCTGTTGGTGCTCTCCTCGAACTGGGCCATCCTGGCTTCGTTGGCCTGGACCCTCTCGCTGAGCATCTTGCATTCAGCAAGTCCCTGATCGACAGCATTGAACCTGGCCATGATCTGAGCGAGCGCATCCCCATTGTCGGCCGGCGAGCCCATGACTGGGGACGAGGCTGTGGCGGTAGACCTGG